GTGGGCCCCTGTGGGCCCCGGTGGGCCCCGGGCCAGCATGAGGATGCTGCCAGGCCACCCCCGGGGGGTGGGGGGCTCCGGATGGTTTGGGCAAACCCTGAGGGGCCGGGCACGAGGCTGCCCCATGGCTGACTGTGGCCTCGTCCTCCTCTCGCTGGCCCCTGAGCCGCCCACGCCTGCCGACGCGCCCTGGACAGCGGCCTGTAGGCTTGACGGCCCCAGGAGAGTGCTGCTCATTCCCAGTCCGTCTGGGGAGCAGGAGGAGAGCTGGCCCCACGTGCCCCCGCTGTGGCGCTGGCTTCAGGCCCCTTTGCGGATGGGAGTGGGGTCCAGGCCCCTCCCCTGCCCGGAGCCTGGGGGTGGCAGTGGGTCCGTCGGGAACCTCCTGCCATCCCCTGCCGGGATCCCAACCAGGCCGTGCGGTGGCAGCAGGACCCCCATCCCCCCTGCCTGTTGAGACAGAGCATCTGTCGGGTGTCGGGTGCCCTTTTGGGATGAGCCCCGGGGCCCCTTGCCAACTTGGAAGCCAGGCCAGTGTCTGCAGGGGCGCCCGGGTGGCCTGGGTGTCCTGTCAGGAGACATGATACAGCGGTAGGGCCCAGGAAGACTCCAGCCACGGAGCGAGACCTCTCCTTCCCACCCTCTGCCAGGCTCGGAGCCGGAGACGTCCGGGCAGCCCCTGGTGCCTGGCTACCAGAGAGCCGCCCTGGGAGGTGCTCTGCTTCCTGGCGGGCCAGTGTCCACGCCGTCCGGGGACCCTTTGATTCAAGGAGGCTTCCCTGATCACATCGTTGCTGTTTCTCTGTCCGCGTTGTTCACGTCTGTGAATTATTTCGGAGACCGTAAACTTCACTCTGCAGCTTCCCTCCCTAAACCACCCCCCACACGGGCGGCCATCCTTTCCCATTTTTCCGCAACTGGTCTTGAGATGGGCTGAGGAGGCCGAGGGGCTTCTGCCTGGCAGGCGCGCCCATGCCCTCGCCCCCGTTCTTGCGGGAAGGGCCAGCGGTGGACGGGGAGCCTCGCGTGGGCAGCCTGGTGCCTGTCCTGTGCCCGTCTCGCTCAGCAGACCGAGCCACTCGGCCAGCAAATGCAGGGCTCACTTAGCAGCAGCTGCTGTGGTCACAAGCGGCCACGGTCTCTGGACACGGTGCCGAGGGAGCCGGGCAACGGGGGGCGGGGGTTGCTTTCTAAACTCCGAGGCTCAGCGCGGCGTGGAGGGGTTGGTGTTTCTGGGCCGAGAGCGCCTGACAGCCCAGGGGGCTGGAGTCCGGCGCAGCCGCCCAGCTCGTGCCGGGGTCTCCACCGCTGAGCCTCCTGGTCTCACTGCCCTGTTGTTTCTGCAGGGGCCGCCCGGCGGGGACCCGAAGGAGGGGCCTTTCTGGGAGGACTGGTGTCCCCTCGAGGGTAAGTCGTCCTCCCCAAACCTCATAAACTAGCCGTGCCCAGAGCACACGCCGGAAGCTGCCCTCAGAGCCCTGACCCTGGGGACCCCACTCCTCAGCGTGTCCCAGACCTGACCCGTGGATTCGCCCAGGCCAACGCAGGTGGGCCACGTTCTCCGGTCTCAAAGGCAGTTTGGTCTTAAAATATACTTGGAAATACATTTCTTTTGGGGCTCCTTACATGAATTAGGGGATTTGGATTTTGGATCTGGGCATCTGAGAAGCAAATGTTGGGGTCTCTGAGCTTTTATGTCTCCGGAGTTCCCGCGAGCCTGTGCATGCCGGTGGGATGGCCGGGCTTTGTATGGAAGCCATTTGGCGAATCCACGGGTCAGGTCTGGGTGCCTGAAGCGGTCAGCGTGTGAACTGCTGACCGGCCGGAGTCCCTGCCACAATTGAGCTTCTGCCGCGGAGTGTGCCGGCCGATCAGACGTGTGTCACTCGGGGTGGGGAGTTGTGTGGGGTGCGAGGAGGCTGACCCTCCCCGCTGGGGGCTCAGGCCTAAGCGGGTTCCCCACCCTGCCAGCACAGGCATGTGTCGGCCGCTAAGCTGGGACGGGCCTGAGCTCCAATCCCGGAGAATAAACGAGCGCTGGTTGTCCATCCATCCCCGGAGCTTGGGGACCAGGTGCTGCCCAGCAGACACAGCACACACGTGCCCCTGGGTCCTGGCGTCCAGGGATAGCTGGGCTGTGTGGATGGGGACGGGGCACAGGGCGAGGCAGTTCCTCACCCTGTGTGCCCGGGCCCCTGCTCCTCACCCTGTGTGCCCGGGCCCCTGCTCCTCACCCTGTGTGCCCGGGCCCCTGCTGCCCGGGCAGGGGCCCACACACCTGGCCCTGGCTAACCCATGGGAGGGTCGCCCCGCCCTCTGCACAGCTCCCTTGACGCCCCCTTGCTCTGAAGGACGGGCTCTCAGGTCAGGCCTCGGTGGAGGGGATCAGAGGTTGGCGTGGACTCCGTGGCTCCCTGGCCCCACCTCCTGCACCCCGCTGCCCCCGTCCCCGTCTGGCCCGGAAAGAACCCTTCCCAACCCTCTCCTCCCTCCAGTGGTGCTCCCCCCGGAGAAGGCCGAGGGCCGTGAGGGCACAGGACTGATCTCCAGTGTGGTCAATGCAGAGAGAGCAGCAAGCCGGGAGGGCCCACGAGGGCCAGGCAAGAAGCACCTCAACATTGATGTAGGTCTTTGTTCCCCCTGCCCCCTGGGAGGCATCGGGTCCGGGCAGGCGTCTCCCCCTCGGGAGGCATCGGGTCCGGGCAGGCGCCCCCCACCGGGAGGCATCGGGTCAGGTGGGCGCCCCACCCCAGGAGGCATCGGGTCCAGGAGGGTGACATCCCCCTCGGGAGGCATCGGGTCCGGGTGCGCGTCCCCCCCCCAGGAGGCATCGGGTCCAGGCGGGTGTCTCCCCCTCGGGAGGCATCAGGTCCGGGCGGGCGACACCCCCCTCGGGAGGCATCGGGTCCCGGTGGGCGCTGCCCCTCGGGAGGCATCAGGTCCGGGCGGGCGCCCCCCCTTCAGGAGGCATCGGGTCCGGGCGGGCGCCGCACCTTGGGAGGCATCAGGTCCGGGCGGGCGCCCCCCCCTCAGGAGGCATCGGGTCGGGTGGGCGCCCCACCCCGGGAGGCATCGGGTCCAGGAGGGCGACACCCCCCTCGGGAGGCATCGGGTCCGGGCGCGCGTCCTCCCCCCAGGAGGCATCGGGTCCAGGCGGGCGCCCCCCCCTCAGGAGGCATCGGGTCCGGGCGGGCGCTGCCCCTCAAGAGGCTGCGGGCCGGGGCAGGCGCAGTGGGCCCTCGATGGGCGTCTGTGGACCCTGCAGTCTGGCAGGTGCGGCTGCGGTCGGGGGGCTGGAGGTGGTTTAAAACCTCGAGTGTGCTTCCAGTGAAGGTCAGTGGGCTCCAGAGCCGGGGGGGTGTTGCTGTGAGTTCAGTCAAAACTGACCACTGTGACACCAGAGAATTTGGGCGCTTCCGGGGCATGAAGGACACAGAAACCGGCCTGGGGCCGTGGGAGGGGCTGGTCTTCCCAGGAGGGCAGGGGCCGGGGCCCAGGGTGAGCCCGCGGTCCTCTGCCCCACGTGCCTCGCAGGGGCTGCAGTGTGACGTCTCTGTGGAGGGGGACAGCCACCAGGACTGGACGTTCACGCTCTACGGCTTCGACCACATCGGCAAGGCCACCAGGGAGGTGATGCGCCCGGCCGCCCAGGGACAGGCAGATGCCGCCCCCGTCCCAGGAGGCAGGCGGGGCGGGGCCGGGGGCGGGGCCTCTGTCTGGGGTTCAACTCCCCAGGGCGGGCGGTAAGGGCGCCAGGGGCACCCCTGCAGTCTCCTCAGCTGGCCTGTGTGCAGGACGTGACACCCGACTGCTAATCCCCTGAACATAGATTCGGGGTCAAATTTAAGCATCCACGAGATGTGATCCCCATACCAGCAGGGCTGCCCCCCGGCTGCCCGGGGTGCACACAGGGCTAGATGGGACAGGCGTGTGTGTGGGAAGCCTCCTGGAGGCAGCTGAGGGCCCCCTGCCCGGTCTGCCTGTCAGTGACATCGGGCCGTCCTCAGGACATGTCCAGCCTGGTGCACGCCATCTACGAGGCCATCGATGCCTCCGTGAGCCACTCGTCTGACAGCAGCAGGACCCTCCGTGTGAAGCTGACCGTCAGCCCTGAGTCTCTCAGCGAGAGGAAGGAGAGTCCCCCCACAGGCCAGGGTGAGGGGCTGTCCTGCTCAGACACCCCGGAGACCCTGCTTGAGACGGCAGCCTGTCCCACACACCCTGTCCCCACAGCGCTCACTGCTCATTCCCCGAGCCTCTGGTTACTGGTCAGCTCCGTTTACCGGTCAGCGCCCCAACCCTCCGAGGGCGAAATGCCTGTCTGGGCAAAGGAGTGCGTGAGTGGATGAGCAGGGAATGCGCTGCCCCTCTTTCAGACCAGGAGCCCACTCGCTGCAGGATGGAGGCCGAGCTCACCGGGGACCCCGGGGGGGCCGACAAGAGGCCGTCCGCACACACCAGGTGAGGGACTGCCGTCCGGCTCCGTCCTCTGGCTTGTCCTCGGTGGGAGCAGCCCGCCCACCCCTGCCACCTGCAGGCCTCAGGGCTGTCCCCTCAGGACGGAGCCACCAAGCCAGGCACCTGGCGCAGAGGGCGGGACGCTGGCCGAGAGGCCCCGGGCACGGCCCGCCATCAGGGTGAGGGCAGCAGCTTGGGGCCTCTGTGGCGGCTGACGCTCTGGCTGGGGCTGAGTGCACTCAGTGTCTGAGAGGCGGTGGGCTTTGAGGGGCAGTGGTGGGTTGGCCTCGAGACCCTCCGTCGCCATGCTCTGGTGCCCTGTGGGTGTCACTGGGCAGTCTGGAGGGCCCGGCGTGGTGACCCGCTCTCTGCCGCAGACTCGAACGGTCCAGCGCTCGTGAGTTCTGTGGGGCATCCCCAGTGGTGGTGCTGGGGTCGTGTTGGGGGCCCCCGGGGCTGGCTGGGGGCTTGCTGTCCTCGGCGGCCTTCCTCCTGTTGCCCTTTGGAGCAGTGGGTGTTGGTCAGGGCCCCTGCGCGGACCCTGAGACCGCCCGCTGCAGGCGCCCCTCCGCTCCAAGTGCCCTGCTCTGGCCTCATGCGGCCCCAGGAGCTCAGGCCCTCATTCCCGCGGCGCACGCAGGAGGCCCGGCGCCGACCCCCACCCCTGCTGCGAGCGCGGCCCATACTGCGTGGACGAGAACACCGAGCGGAGAAATCACTACCTGGACCTGGCTGGGATCGAGAACTACACATCTAGGTTTGGACCCGGTAGGTGCGGGAGACCGGCCCTGGGTATGAGGCCCTGGGTACAGACACCTCAGGGGCAGGAGCCCCGCCTGAGCGTCCTGGGGTCCCTGCAACGAACCACAGCACAGGTCTGCATCCACAGGCGGGCCCCCCGTTCAGGCGTGCGGGTCGTCCCTGCCCCAAGGGGAGACGTCCTGGGCCCCGGGCGGGTGTCCCGGGCGCCCCGTGGCCGCGGGGGCCCTGCCGCGGTCTCACAGGCACCCTGGCTCTGCAGGGGCGCCGCCGTCACAGGCCAAGCAGGAGCACCTGGGCAAGGCCGCGCACCCCCTGAGCCGGTCCCGCTCCCAGGAGGCGGACACGCGCACGGCACTCCAGCGCCGGCCCCAGGTGCTGGCCCACCACCCGCTGCTGGCCGCAGAGCCCGCCGTCAGGGCCCTGGACATGCAGCCCCGGTTGAAGGGGCAGGAGAAGCAGCTTCTCAAGCCCCCCAGGGGCTCAGGGCGGCCCCCTGGGGCGCCGGGCACAGGCAAGCCCGGGAGAGCCTTCGGCTGCCCCCCGCCGGCTGCCCCGCCCCAGGCCCCCCGGGACGGCCACCGCCTCCCGCAGCCCCCACCACAGCCCCACGGCCACAGGCGGGCCCGGCGGAAGAGCAGGGAAGTCCACTCGCCGCTCAGGGCGGCGCTCGGCCAGCCCGCGGCGCTGGAGCACGAGGTGCTGCGGGCCCTGCCGCCCATGTTGGCGGGGGAGGGCTGTGCGGTGCCCGCGGTCCACCACCACCACGCCTCCTAGAGCGTGGCACGCACCCGCCGGGGGGGCCCACGGAGGTGCCCGACGGCCGGTGCTGGGAGGGCTGCCGTCCGCCCCCGCTGCCCTCCGCAAGGACGCCGGGCCCACGTGGACACGTGGGATGCCGCGGACGGCTCAGTTATGAAGCTCTTCCGTGTCACCCTGAAAACCACGCGCGGAAAAATGCACGAGTGTCTGCTCGCTGGATTCCAGACGAGGCCCTGTGGTGCTGGGTCTCCGCTCAGGCGCGCCGCGTGCTCGGGGCGCACAGGGTGGCGAGGGCTCCCTGTCGGGCGGCCCCTCCTGTAATTTGGTCATCATGAAGTCAGAGGGGTGGGCTCGGGGCAGCCCGTGTCCCTGGTGCACGTGGCCCCCGTGCGCTGATGGACGGAGGGCGGGCGGCCACGCGGGACACAGAGCTGTCAGGAACCGTGGCAGGAGGCAGTGGGCAGGGTCAAGGCCCGCGGGAGGCGGCCTCTGGACTTGCGTCGCCAGTGGACAGCATCTTCAGCATCTTCCCAGCGTCATCAGTGGACAGAGACGTGGACAACGGGCAGGCTTCTCATGCTTGGTGGACGCACACATGCGAACATCCAAACGCTTGGGCACAGCCTCGGTGAAGCTCCGCTTTGGGAAAGCGGGATTCGCTCTGTCTGGGACATCAAGAGAGGGGCTGCAGACCAGCAGAAGGCCCGGGGGTGCGGGCAGCGGTCCCACTGAGGCAGGAGGCTCCAGGAGAGCAAGCTGACCCGCCAGCAACTTGAGGTCTGTGCCGGCAGTCCCGCGTTGTCTTCCGGGCGCGAGGCTGAGAAAGCGCGGGTGGTTGAGGCATGAGCACCACCCCCACCGGCTCAATAAAATATGTGCATTTTGTACTGTGTCGTACCCTGTAGTAAAACAAGCATTTCGGAGACATTCTGTCCACCTGCACCAGCAGCGTGTGGGCACACGTGTGCGGACCAGGCCGCCCCGCCGGGTGCGTGGGAGAGTGCGCGTCTGTCTCTTACACACATGTACGTGCACGCTCCGTATTGATGGATAACCTTTCCCCCCATTTTACTGCATAAACAAACAAGAAACCCCAAAACCTAAGCCCCAAATTGGGCTCATGGTAACGGGACACCTGGCACCACATCTGGGGCCGTGCAGACCAAGGCTGACAGTGATTGTGTGTAAACGGGACTCTGTCTGGAGAGGCCGGAGCAGCACCTGCCCCCGTCCACTCCTCCCGACATGCCCCACGCCATCCCCTGCCCCTGGGAGACCCCCACGCCACCCTCATCCCAGGGGGTCATTCTCAGCTGTGTTTCCTCTCCGCACTTGGGGAGACCTGTGTCCCCACCAGCACGCTAGCCTCACCCACTCCTGCTACCTGGAATCTCGTTCCCGTCTGCTCCTGGGCGCCAACCCACGAGCTCCGAGGCCACACGCCTTGTCCTCGGTACCAGGCAGAACACCACACACAGGGGCAGCCCAGTGGGCACTGGAGGGTGAAGGAATGAGTGAACCAGGAGTCTCAGCCCAGAGTGTGTGCTCCCGAGAAGCCTCGCTCCAAACAGAGCCCCCTCTGGCCTCAGCGTGGCCTGCCACGGGAAGTGCCCATGGAGGCCAGGAGGGACAGTGGGCCTGGAGGTCCGGGGAAAGCAGGAGGCCTGGGTGCTGCTCAAGAGGGCGGGCAGGAGTCAGGTGCCTGGCCAGCCCTGCCCCGATGGGGTCAGGTGCATTGGCGCCCCCGTTCCACAGGGCAGGAAAGGTGGGCAGTGCCGGGGACAGCCTGAGGATTCCGTGTTGGGGCTGTGGGCAGGGGCGGGTGGAAGCTTACTGGGAATCCCAGGAAGGGTGTGGGGCACTGGGTAGGGCTTCAGCCAGAGATTCTGGGGACGAGCCATGGTTTTAGAAAGAAGGGGTCTCGGAGCACAGAAGGAGGGGCAGACGCAGGTGGGAAGGCAGAGGGACCGCCCATGATGACCACTAGAGAGAACTGGCTCTTTCTCTGGCTTTTTGTTCCACTCTGGGCCAGACAGATCAGGTGATGCCGTGCACATGGGGGGTGCTGAGTCAGAAACACCTACATGGACACCAGCTCGAACTCTGGAGTTCCCAGGCCAAAGGTATGGAGACGGTCTTGGCGTCCAGTGGGGTCTCTCACTCACCGTGTGCTGAGTCTCTTGGGTGGCCCTGAGCCATGGGTCTGGACCAGTGGCATGGAAGTGCCCAGGAGTTTGTCAGGGATACCCGAATCGTAGCCCGGCCAGAATCGGCCCCAGACCGAGACCCGGGACTTGGGGATGAGAAGGTGCGCTGCAGGGGACTGGCCTGTCCGCGTTTGCTCCTCCCTGGGGAGCGGCTGCCCTCTCCAGGTCCTACCCTCAGCCCCAGCCGGGGCACGGCCAGTACCTGATGAAGCCACGGGAAGCCCAGCGTCTCCTTCCCAGCTGCCCTCTGGGGCAGTGCCACCCTCCCCATCCGTCCAGGCTGACTGAGCGACTGTCCTGCAAATTCTCTCTCTCCGCTTGAGCTGGGGCGTCCACCTTCTGCTCCCGGGCATCCGGGAGCCTGGGATCTCAGGATTCAGGGCTCAGACTGATTCAGCCCCACGGACTTGCCAGGGTCTCCCAGCCTTGGTAATCACGGGACCCAATTCCTGTATCTCTGTGTACTATGCTTCTGTTTCTCTGGGGAGCCCTGACTAGTGCGGAGACCACTTACAACAGCACCCACAATGCCAAACGCCTGGATGGCCAAGATCTCAACTCAGGCACCGTGAACTTCATCGGGCGTCGTCTGGAAAGATCTAAACGGAGGGGCGTGTGCCTGGGTGGGTCAACACAGGCAGCTCGAAGCAGCAACTCTGTCCCAGCTGAGATCTCAGCCAGATTCCTGATGCTAAAATGCATGGAAAAGCAAAGGGGTGAGAACACGCACAGCGAGGTGAAGGCACTGACCACCGCCAGGACACGCTGCGGCCACGGGAACGAACTCAGCACGCCAAGGCCAGGCTAAGCGAGCCACGGAGCAGGCAGGAGGCCCAGACGCAGCTCCTACAAACACAGCCACTACATTTGGGACAACGGTGCCCTAGGAGCACGGGCCGGGTGCCCACGGAGAAACGGTCACCTGACCAAAGCCCGGACCCACTCCAGGTGAACACACAACGTGAAGGATGCTCTGGGGTGCGGGCGGGCGGGCGGGCGCACTGGGGCGAGCCCCTGGAAACGCTGAGCGGGAGCTCCCGGCCCGGGTTTGCAGCAGGGGCACGCACGCGCCCACGGGGGGCTCACACGGTGGGCCGCCTCCCGGAATGGAGATCCACACCGCCCGCCACGCCTGCCTGGGCCACTCCCACTGGCAGACCACCTGTGGCAGGTGGGGCCTCTGAGCCGGCGGTGCGTTTCCCACCCGAAATCAGGAGAGAAAAGCAGGACGCTCCTCGAGACGCTTCTGCAGACGCTGTCCGCTCGCGGAAGGACAGTCGGGGAGGCGATGCTGTGCAGGGCGTCCCTCGGATGAGGACGCGGGGATCAATGGCCGCTCTGCTCTGAGGCAGAAGTCCACGTGACCCCACCCAGCGGTCAGTGACGATGGGGGCAGACGCTGCGAGGAATTGTCTGGGACCTTTTGGTTCCCGTCCCCCTCACCTCCACCCTGTCTCTCCCTCGGGGCACCGGAGGCCACCGCAGAAAAAAAACACAAAGCCAGAGAAACCGTCTTGTCCCCTGAGCGCCCGGTGAGGTCCTGGTGAAAGCAAGGAGCCCGGGAGGAAGCTGGCGGGGCCTACCTGGCACCCGGCTGCCCCGGGAGAGGCACCAGCAGGGCCAGACCCCGGGGCCTGGGTGCGGGAGCCAAGGGACGGGTGCAAGGACCGCACGCAGGGCTGGGCCCAGGAGGAAGGGGCCCCGGAGGTGCCAGGCGCAGGGGGCAGCCCCAGGCAGGCGGTCAGCCCAGCCCAGCCCTGCAAGGAGGGGGCGCCTGTCCACCTGGCGTCCCCGCATCGGCTGAGCGTGAATCCTGAGGGAATGTGGGCTGCTAATGTCACGGTCTCAGCAAGGACAGAAGCTCGCTGTGACCATCTCCGCCTGGGAGGAGTACCGAAACCGGCACCACTTAACCCTTTCCTTACCGCCCCTCCCCGTGGGGCCGTGCCCATGGTACAGCGCACACGGCCACGTTCCCGATGCCGCAGCTGGGCCACGTGCACGGCACGCAGGACAGGGCTCCGTTCAACTCCCAGGCCAGCGTCCCCCAACCTGCCCTATCCTCACGGCCTTCCCCTCCCACCAGCTTGGAACCACAGGCTGAAGGCGGGGGCCTGGAGCGACGGCCCAAAGCACGGGGCCCTCGAGCTCCTCGGGGCTCCCAATCTCCTGGGCCTTGCTCCCAGTGCCCAGAGGCCCCATCACCCTGATGCCGGAGTCTAGGCCTCCCTGGCCACAGGTGGGCTGTTGTGCCCTGCCCTCACCTCTATCTCCAGCGGGACCCCCATCTCCTGGCCCCCCACCCCCTGCTGTCGGCTCCGCAGCCTCCACCATCCACACCGGAGGCCCGGCTCCTGCTCTGACAGTCCCCTGCCCGGTCCTGACCCCACCTTGGAGCCTCTCCCACCCTCAGGCTGTCCCTGCCTCAGGGCCTTGGCACCTGCCATTGCCTGTGCCTAGACTGACCCCGTCTCTCCTCTGCCATCCGGTCACAGCTCCCCCCACAGGCATGTTGGGTGCTGGCTGATGCCTCCTCGCCAAGGCATGGACGGCTCACAGCTGTGCAGAAGGGTCTCGGGCACAACGTCAGGGCCCGACCGCCGCTCAGGCCCATGGGGGGCCGGGATCCCTCCTGGCAGTGAGAGGACTCGATCAACTTCTCTGAGAAGGTGTGACACGGAGTCTGAAGCCCCATGGGGGCCTCTTGGCTTGCTTGCTCACAGAACCTGCCCCACGGGCCCCCTGGGCACCGGTGGCCGAGTCAGGACCCTCGGATTCTGCTAGGTCCTCCCCGTGCAGCTCCATCTG